ACAATTCATAGATCTCAGAAAGGTCATGCTCTTATTAAACTCTAAGAACAGAAAACAGTACCAGCCTGGGCTGGATCCTAGATGAATGTAAGGTCAACTCTTGATGAAGAAGTCCCGGAAGCCCAAGCTAAACCTCGCCCATGCTTATTAATAAGCAAGCTGTGAATACTCACCCTGGAAGCCACAGAGGCCTCACAAAGTGCCATGTTGGGGAAATCGTACAGTCATCTATGTGGCCATTATAAATTGGTTATACTGGGAGCCATCATAGCTTCAACTGTCTTATTTTGAACACAGGTCCATGGAAAATGATCCATAAGACTATCCATACCTGCTTCTAGTGAAGTGTGTGTGTTTGTGTGTGTGTGTGTGTGTGTGTGTGTGTATACAAATAGATGGGGACATTATCATATATATCATGTAAATTATTAAATATATATATACCTTATTATATACATGGGATTATTATATACACACATATTTCATCTATGAAATAAATGCTTCGATGTGAATTCCTATCTTTGAGTAGGCAAGACCTCCTGCACTGAAGCTGGCGGAAGAGTGTGCTTAAACAACAGCAATGCAGTGACTCATCTGTGTTTTTACAACATGTTTCTACCCAGCGCCCGTGTCTATTTGTAGCCTGACAATAAAGGCCCTATGTGAACCATCTCTAAGCTGTCTGCCTTTAAAAGCAAGGACACTGTTTTCAGTTGACTCATTTCAGCTGCTTGTACATTTGAGAATAACCCACTGCCACATTTATAAAGACATGTGATATAATTGAAGATTATTTCAGGCTGTGTCAATGCTTTGCTGCTTAGTATTGATCTACTGTTTAGACTCGCAGTGGTTCTCAACCTTCTGGCCCTTTAAATACAGTTCCTCATGTTGTGACCCAACCATAAAATTATTTTCGTTGCTACTTCATAACTGTAATGTTGCTACTGTTATGAATCGTAATGTAAATATCTGATATGCAGGATGGTCTTGGGCGACCCCTGTGAAAGGGTTGTTTGACCGCCAAAGGGGTCGCGACCCACAGGTTGAGAACTGCTGGTTTAGAAGGTCAAATAGAGCCAGAGGACCTCCCCCCTTAAATGAGCCCTCTACACACCACTATGGTTATCTCCTGGGGGCAGAGAAACAGATAGCTCTATCAACACCCCAGACTGTAAATGCTGTCAGAAGAGGAGTCTTATCTATTTTGGTCACTTATCTGTTTCCCCAGCACTTAAAATAGTGTCTGGCACACAGTAGACATTAAGTAAATATTTTCAAAGGAATGAATCAACCTCTGCCATAGACTTGTGAAATGACCTGGGCCTTAGCACCAAATCCACAGAACACTTTGTTGTCCTGATGCCAAGTCAAGACTCCCACTGCCGGAGCATCAGCTCTTTTGCATGCTATAGCTCATACCCTCTCAGTGCCGAGTCCTCTCAGCATCTCAGGTCACCTCACTCCTTGGTCCTTAACAGAGATCAAATCAACATACATATGTGTGTGTGTGCACATATATATACACACACATATATATGTATCGTATATATCGATAATTACTGATATCCATATATCTGTTGATATTATATATGTGTGTATACATATAAACATATAAATACACATATATACACACATATACATACATATATATAATCATCTATCATTATAAGAAAACCTAATATGATTACTACATGTAAATTTTTTCATATTAAAATATTAGGATATGTAAAATCACTATATAACCATTGAGTTGGGTATACGTGTGCATGTACTACTTAATTTCTATTTACACAGATGTTTTAGGTTTATAAACCCAGTGCTTAGATCTGTGTATTCACTTACTAATAGCAGTAGTTCAACCAAAAGAAATTAATAACAGACTATTCAGTTCAACAAATATATATTAACAATCATTAATTTTCTAGCCCACTTTTTCAGTGTTTCTGCCACCCACTGTGACTTCCAGAAGTGTCAAATTGTAGTTCTTTTGCTAATTAGATACTTTGAATGACGTCAACTCCCAGGAGTAACACCCAGCAAATGGTCATTTTTAACATCCTGACCATGGAAAGTATTTATGTTTCTCCTAAAGTCTTCAGAACCCAGAAAACAGCTTACACCACCAGCAAGGCTTTTGCTGTGTAATTTATCACAGAGGAGAATACTCATTTCATGTTATACAACAGAATCCTTTATTTTCCCAGAACTCACTCATATAGAACTTAACTCACCTAGGAGGGTGGACAATAGACTAACAGATGTCACATCTCAGATACAGTGCTCTAAAGCTAAAGAGTTCAATTCAGTTGATTTTTTAAAAAAACAATAAGCATAGGGAATATGGTCAATAATATTCTAATAACTATGTATGGTGTTAGGTGGGTACAAAATTTATCGGGATGATAACTTAGTAAGTTATGCAATGTCTAATCACTGGGCTGTACACTGAAAACCAATGTAATTACATAGTTTAAACTGTAATTTTAAAAAAATTTAAATGATTTTTAAAAAATTTAAGGCAATAATCAACACAAAGGATGTCAATAAGAAGAACATTCGTGAATATAAAAGTGTTGAAACAATATCTGCACAAAAAATAAACAAGCAAAATAGAAACAGACTCAGAGATCATCAGACTGATGATTGCCAGAGGGGAGCATGGCTGGGGGACTGGGTGAAAAGGGTGAAGGGATTAAAAACTACAGATTGGTAATTTCAAAACAGTCACAGAGATAGTGCAGCATAAGGGAATATAGTAAATAATCTCATAATAACTATGTACAGTATCAGGTGGGTACTTGAAATATTGGGGAACCACTGTGTAAAGTATACAATTGTCTAACCACTATGCTGTACACCTGAAACTAATACAAAATAACCTGAATGTAAACTGTAATTGAAAAATATTTTTTAAATATGCACAAAAAATCTCTATATTCTGAAAGACAAGGTGATTTTGTTCTTGCTACTCTCAAAATCACATCTCCTTTTTTTCTACCTATTTCCTTGAAGTTTATGTTTTCGTTATCACAATGCTCTCATTTGGATGAAGAGTACCTATCCCATTTGAATACAGTTAAATTTTATCAAAAGTCTCCTACGACATCACTGCTCTAACTTCAAATTTTCATTTCTATCTTATGAAAGGAAAAAAGAGGAGCACGCCTTCTTCATATACTTTCTCTGCTACTGCCACACTGCCTACTCCTCGTGCCGCAGGCCTACCATTGGGAACACACAGACAAGTGCTCTCTGGCCAGCACAGTGTTATTTTTAAAGTGTCAATCAGGCCTGGCTGGCATGGCTCAGTGGTTGAGCATCAAATTATGAACCATTAGGTTGTGGTTCAGTTTGAGTCAGGGCACATGCTGGGTTGCAGACTTGATCTCCAGCAGGAGGCAGCCAATCAATGATTCTCTCTCATCATTGATGATTCATTCATTCTCTCTCTCTCTCTCTCATCTCTGAAATCAATAAAAATATATTTTAAAAATGTCAATCAGGTACCAGTATTTTTAAATCACCAGATTTCACATAAGAACTTTAAATTTCAACCTCTCTTTGAAAATCAGAAAATGAAATCATACTGAGTATATTTTCATGTGGAAAGAAGCAGAGATGAGTGGCAACTGCCCCTTTCCAACAGAACGTGGCCTCTCAGGAGTCGTCATGGCCCCAGCTGTGAGGAAGCCCATGCGAGCCACGTGGTAAGGTCATGTGGAGAGTCCTCAGTCCCAGCTCCTGCAGACATCCAGCCTGGGCACTGGGCCTGTGAGTCAAGAAGCCTTCAGATGACTCCAACCTCAGCTGCCATCTTGCAAGTGTATGAGGACCAAAGAGAGAACTACCCGAGTCCATCAACCACCCAAACTATGAGAGATTAAATGGTTGTTTCAAGCCCCTACGCTTTGGGATAATATGCTATGCAGCAATAAATGAGCAGTAAGAGATAAAATATACTCTCAAGAAACTAAATACACTTGTTTAAAATAGATTCTCCTTTTTTACTTGGAGCAATGAAGATAGTCTCCTTCTTATTTTTGTGTTTAGGCAGAATCTAAAACATAAATGTGCCCAGGGAAGAAAATAGAAGTGGAAGAAAAGCAATCATTTGGAATCAGCTGTATTTTTTTTTTAATAAGTTGGCTGGCAGCACTGAGGAATGTCACATAGGTTAAACAGTAATAAGTCGTAAAAGAGAAGGACAGAAAAGGGCTTCTTTACATAAGACTATCACCTTCACTCACTACGCTGTGTCCAGTATCTCCCACAATGCCTACTTTTTTTCTTAATGACTGGATGAAATAAAAGTAGTTTTGTACATATTTTTCTGATTGACTAAGAGAATCTGAAGTATCTTTCCTATCACTAAAACATTAGGTATTACTGGTTCAAAAGGAAGGCAAATGCCACCTGCTAAGTCACCAAAGTATTGTGGTTCAGACAAAATAAATCAATTCAGAGTTTTTACAGCTTAAGGAGTAGATTCAGGAATAAGAGAAACAACTCTTATCTTGTATTTCTTAATGCTGAGTTCCACTAACAGATAAGCAAATCCACTCTTGAGTAAATCCCTCAGTTGATGATTCTGTTGGCTCGGGTGTACAATGAAGATGACCATGTATTTCTGGAAAGAGTGCGGTCATCAAGTTTAACAAAATGGTCCATACATTCAAGGTAGTAGAAGATGTAAACCTTGTGCCCTGCATCAAATTAAAGCAGCTGATATGCTTTTGCCCAAATAGAACTGTATATCCTCATTTCCTTCCCTTCTTTTCTCCACTTGTGACTCAAGCCAGATTTCATCAAGCTATTTTTATAATTACTAAAATGTTGGAAATACAGCAGCAGGCCAGAAGCAAAGTAAAACGCAGCATCCAGCAAAAAAAGGAAAATCACGCTGAGTAACTGAAAGGCCATCTGCTACTAACGGAGCTGTAGGGTGAGGACGGCAATCTGGGCTGTACTATTTGTGTCTTCCCCCAAACCCAACCCACCTGCATGTTGTCAGTGGCATCCCCAAGCAGTCCTCCAAACGTGATCGCATTAGTTACAGTCGCCAGATAAATGAAGAGAATTGCTGATAGAGCCTGAATATTTAAAGCGTCATAAAAATCACTGGCAAAAAATGGTGCTTTCCTCTTTATGTCCTTAATTAGTCCACCACAGAACCTGGGTAAGGAGAGAGCAAACATGTGACGATGTAACATAAATTACCATCAAATTAAGCAAGAGATAACTTATTAAACCACAAAGAATGTGTACTTAACGTGTGCTTGAAGGAACAAGGTACTATTTAATCACTTAAGATAAAACCAGAAAACTGTGGCAGAATAAATTTTCTTCTATCTTCCCCTTTTTCAGTCACCAAATTAGGTGTCACATTCCCTAAAGACCAGACAGTTGGTCTTTAGATGAGAGTGAATTGTTGAGCTAAATTAAAACTTCTCACCATCTGAAGAAAATCATCCAAACATGCGAGCAGATCATACAAGGACCTTTATAATCTTGCCATGGCTTCCTTTCCAGCCTCATTCACTCATTCATTCATTCATTCATTCCTCATTCCACAAATGCTTATTGAGCATCTGTGATATACCCAGAACTAATCCAGGTGCTGGAAATATAAAAGTGAATGATACGGAAAAGAAAAGAAAATACCCACTCTCATGAAGTTTACTTTCTGTATGGAGGAGACAAAATATGTAAAATGCATGGTGCTAAAAATCAAGGAAGAAATTAAGTGGGGAACAGGATTATTAGATGAGAGAGGAGCAATGGTTGAAATATGATGGTGGCCAGAAGGGGTCTCCCAATCATGTGACTTTGGGGTAAGAATCTGAAGATGTTTCAGATTCAAGGAAGCCATGCAGGTATGTGGTAGAACAGCATTGCCTGCTGACTCCCACCGCAAATGTTAGCAGGTCAGCTGACTTATGCATCAGTCAACTCACCCTCCCAGCCAAATCTCACATGTTAGTATGAACAGGGCCAGGCAAACTGCAGACACTCGGTGCATTTAGCAAAGGTGAAATACGGAAGAATGACATCTCAGTCTGTAGTGTTTTTTAAAAGACATATTTTCATAAAATGAGTACCCAACTTGAAATTTTACTTAACCCAAAATGAAATGGAGAACCTAGCAGTGGAGGAGGGAGAACTGTCATGAAAAGAGATTTAGCCCAAAGCAATCTGGGAAACCCGATTCCCCAACTGCCCTCTCTGGAAAACAGGACCTGTGAGTTACTCATGTATTTCTATAACATGTTACCCCCTTTTGAGTAAGTGTACAGGGAAGAGATGGAATCATGAAAGCCACATGTGTAAGATTGGCACATTACACATTCTTCCTGCCATACACTCTACCCAGAACCTCTCTTTTTTGTCTCTCACACCCACTCCCTCACTCCACTCCAGTCACACCAGCCACAGTGCCAGCCTAGCACATGCCAGGTGCTCTGCTGTCCCCTCTTCCAACCCCACGTCTACATGGTCTATCTCCCACCTCCCTCAGGACTTTCCTCAAACACTACAATTCTCTTTAAGGCCCTCGCTGGCCACCCTATCTAAAACACCTTTCTCACAAGGCAAACTCCCTACTTCTCCTTTGATTCCCCACATAAAAGCATCACCACATTCCTTGATTTGCTCACTGTCTGTCTCCACCACTACAAAGTAAGACCCATAAGGATAAGGAGTTTTGTTCAGTTCACTGCTGCATCCCCAGTGGCTGTGACTGTTAGGTAACTATAAATATCTGTTGGCTGAATGAATGTGCAAACAGTGAATAAAATGCTGATAGAAAGATGAAGGGAAATTTAGATCCAAGGAGAACCTCATCGTGAATGACAAAAGAACCCTTCAGTTACCGTCCAGTTTTCTGCAATTCTTCACTGTCCCCATGTCCTCCTCCTCCTCCATGGCCGCCTTCATGGGGTGTGTCCCCATTCATCTGAACATTCTCTCCACCTGAGTACATGTTCTTTCTAAGACAACAGAGCCCAAGGGAATATTAGTTTATTGTACTTATCTGCACCAGCTAATGAAGAGATGAGCTGAAAACCCTTTGGGAGAAGGATCCTTATTTCCTTCTGCCATCCTCACAGACAGTTCTGAAAGTGTTATATTTAGAGCCAACACAAATGACTGGAGGAATAGAAAAGTTGAACAAATTGTATATTGGATAAGAGGGAAACCATTTCACTTGGAAAGTAACAGGTTTCCAGAAAATGGCATCTCCTCAATCATCTCACCCAATTTCTTAACCTCTTATATCTACAGGACGTCATTTTGAGTAAACTAATCTTCCCACATGCACAAGGAGTTCCCAGAACATCCCCAAAGAGGCTCTGTGATATATTCCAATATCATAATATATCTCTACTTTGTTTTGTTTTTTTTGTTTGTTTTAATTTTTATTAAGTTATTACATATGTGTCCTTATCCCCACATTACCCCCCAACCCCCCACTCATGCCCTCACCCCCCTGTTGTCTGTGTCCATTGGTTAGGCCTATATGCTTGCATGTAAGTTCTTTGGTTGATCTCTCCTCCTTACCCCCACCCTCCCCTATCTTCCCTCTGAGGTTTGACGGTCTGATCGATGCTTCTCTGTCTCTGGATCTGTTTTTGTTCATCAGTTTATGTTGTTCATTATATTCCATAAATGAGTGAGATCATGTGATATTTATCTTTCTCTGACTGGCTTATTTCACTTAGCATAATGCTCTCCAGTTCCATCCATGCTATTGCAAATGGTAAGAACTCCTTCTTTTTTAACGCAGCGTCGTATTCCATTGTATAGATGTACCACAGTTTTTTAATCCACTCATCTACTGATGGGCACTTAGGCTGTTTCCAAATCTTAGCTATGGTGAATTGTGCTGCTATGAACATAAGGGTGCATATATCCTTTCTAATTAGTGTTTCTAGGGATATATTCCTAGAAGTGGGATCACTGGGTCAAATGGGAGTTCCATTTTTAGTTTTTTGAGGAAACTCCATACTGTTCTACTTTGTAATCACCAAAGCACATCACAACATATGACATTCATTTTACAATGTCAATGAAATGTCAAACCAAGGCACATATGGGATTAACTTGAAATGACATAATACATCAAGTTAAATGGGAACCTAAAAATATTAGGGCAGTAGCCTGACTCCATTTCCTTTGCCAAACATAATCTCTTTCTCAAAGTTTAACACCCCCAACTGCTTGATAATTTACCTTTTGTCGGACGATGGAAGACTCTTAGGAGGCTCTATCCTGATCGTTGGATCCCATTCCCCAGGGGGAAGGACAATGACTTCATCTAGGAACTCATCAATGCCAGCGATCAGGTCCTGCCTGTCTTTTGCTTTATAAGCAATGTCATGGAACACCTGAAGAAGAAGAAGAAGAGGTATGCTGATCCAACAACTCTCCACATGCCTCACATGCCCAGCCTAAAGAATATAACCCATAATCCACTTTAATATTACTATAACCACACTCTCATTTTTCCGGTTATTCAGCTTGCCCCAAAATATTTCAGTAATAAACCCAAATAATATAGGGAGAGGCATGAGAAACAAATGGATGTTTCTTTTATATGTTTTTTTTCTATCAATACTGTAAAATAATATTGCCTATTTTCTCCCACTGGTATGTACCATTATTGATATAGTTGCTATGGAAACCAAATTAAAATGATTTGGAGAAATACACTGAAGAGTCATTCCCTGAAATAAAAACTACCGGGACAAACCACTGCTGATAATCCAAGAAGGAAAAGATCAAACTGAGTATTAAGATCAGGTTAAGAGCAAAACACTTCAGCTTTCAAACACAAAAATAATGTTAGCTTTTTTTAAAAAAAGAAAATCTGAGCTATATTGGCAACACCTAAACCAAAGGGTTTTAAGTGTAGGCGATCATCTGTCTAGCTTCAAAAGACTTAGGATATGTGTAAGGGACTTTAGGATCATCAGCTAGGTGAGAAAAATGGAACTGGCAAAAAGAATTATGTACATTCTGGAATGCAGGGAGTGTCTATATGCTTATCCAGTTATTGAGGCAACAACTAAACCATCCAAGGCAGCAAATGCTCCATGCCTTTTATGCAAATATCCAAAGAAAGAACTTGCTGAATGTACATCATTTAATTAGAAGGATATAGGTTGTCAGCCTTCTTTATAATGAGCTTCATGGCAAATAAGCTTACATCCACAGTTTTCAAAATGTAAATTTCATATTGGGATAAATATATTTTCCTTTATTTTATAAACATTTTTCATTATTTGTGTGTGTGTATTGTATTGTATTTATTTTTACTGATTTTAGAGCAGGGAATTGGGAGAGAAAGAAACATCAATGTGAGAGAGAAACATCGATCAGTTGCCTCCACCTGACTGGGGATCAAACCCACAACCTGGGTATGTGCCCTGATCAGGAAGTGAACCCACCACATTTTGGTGTACACAGTGATGCTCCAACCATCTGAGCCACCTGTCCAGGGCACATTTTCCATTCTTAAAACTGATGTAGGTTACGTATTTTTTAAGAAGTTCAAGTCACTGTATTAACTTACAGTGACAGCCAAATCACAGAATGAAAACACACAAGTAAGACTTTCGCAGATCGTCATCTTCCCGATTTCCTACCTCGTCAGACATCAAGGTGGCAATGGCTCTGCCAATCTCATGGTAGGACTTGCCTTTCCCCTTAGGACCTAGGAGAATGAATAAGAACCTAGTGGAAGAGGAAAGAAGCAAAGGCTATAACACATGTATCATCAAACTCAAAATACATAAAACTGAGACACGTTTATCCTTGCTCATGAAAAGGTTAGGTCTAGAATTCATCTTTAAACAAATGTAATATTCCTGGCATATGACAGATACTCTTTCAACTACAGTGAAACAAAACTCATTGTTTAGTTTCTTTGGAGGCAATGGAGAATTTAGCATGGAAACCTGAGAAGCTTCTTCGTTGACAAGGAAAGGTTCCATTTTTTGAGTCATTCAATCTTTCTTTTCTAAACTTTCTTTTCTCTCCACTTCTACTGAATTGCAGAATCTTTAGTGAAAACCATTAAACACAATAACTAGAAAGACTCAGTACATCTTCTGGTTTCTCTGACTTTCCCTTACCCAATTTGGGCAATGACATATGACCTTCTCCAGGCTTAAGAAATGTTTCTACTCAGAAGTGACAACTCTTCTACAAGTAAGCCACATGCTGACAGTAAAGAAAGAAAACTATGGAAAAAAAGAAAAGAAAAGAAAAAGAGCATCATTCACAGTTAAGATTTTGTGTGAGGTGTGTTGTGTATTTTTTGGTGGGTAACCTCATTTTCCTTTCCAAACTTCTTTTCTTGATAATGCACAAGCATTGCTCCACAGTGAGTAGGTCCTGAAACTTGCAATAATAAGCTTATCCCCATTTAGGTTCACCTCTTATCATGGTGGGAAAAATCCCTCATTGATGACAAGAGCAAAGCTATATGTTTTGACTAGGGAGGAGGAACCTGATATGTAAATGAATGAAAAATATATACTAAAGGCAACATCAGATAAATCTGTCTTGTTTATGATCATGTCTTACCCAACACAGAAATAATGAGGACAATTAAAATGATCACATCATATATTTGCACAGCTTTTTAAAGTCTGCAAAGCACTTCACATTCATCACCTCATTTAAATTCCATACAACCCTTTGCAATAAGAACAGGTATCCTAGTCCTGGTTAATGGTGAAGAAACCCAGGCTCAAGAAAGTTAATGGATGAGCCCAAAGACTGTGCCTGGTATATGAGAGAGAGCAGACAGGCCGTCCAACCTTTTGTTATTTTCAGCACACAATTCTGCCCAATATTACCTGCCCAACCTATACACCAGGCTTATGATTCCATAGAGAAAGGCTATTCAACAATGACTCTCATAGATCACTCTGGGGAAAGGTGCTGTGGATATTTAGCTGGGAGCAAGGAATCTTAGGTAAAACTTTAGGGGACCAGGAATGACTGAGGATTTGGCTTAGTTAAATTTTATTTTTTACTTATTTATTTATATACCTCACTCTAAATAAAAAGGGATTGACAGCAAGTACTCTTGAATGTGTTAGGGTTTATTCCAAACTGTCCTTGAAGATGTAATTCCTCTTTTTCATTATAAAATTCAATCCAAAGAAGAAAAAAACAGAAATAAAGAATGTAAAAGTATCTGTAAGTATGAATACTCAGAGTTTATCTCAGAATAACCATAAAGTCATTCAGCACTTATGTGCTTAGCAACCAGTTCTGTAGTCAGGCAGCATGCTCACTTTCTTATTTATTTATTTATTTATTTATTTATTTATTTTAATTTTTTTGTTTGTTTATTGTCTAAAGTTTTACATATGTCTCCTTTTTCCCCAATTGACCCCCCCTCCAGCCATTCCCACCCCAGGCAAGCTCCCATCGCCCCAGTGTCTGTGTCCATTGGTTATGCTAATATGCATGCATACAAGTCCTTTGGTTGCTCTCTAACCCCCCCTCACCCCTACCATTTGTCTCTGGATCTATTCTTGTTCATCAAATTATGTTGATCATTATATCCCACATATGAGAGATCATGTGATATTTATCTTTCTCCCACTGGCTTATTTCGCTTAGCATAATGCTCTCCAGTTCCATCCATGCTGTTGCAAATGGTAAGAGTTCCTTCTTTTTTATAGCGGTGTAGTATTCCATTGTGTAGATGTGGATGAGTGACATGCTCACTTTCAAGTGTTATCATAGTGGATGCAAGAGCCACAGCAAACAGCAGGCCCAAAAGTCTGTGCAAGTATGAAGGAAGCCGTTACTAGAATTGGATTTTAGTTCTTCTAACACTGAAGTTCAATTGAGACTAGAACTTTTCTTCCTTTGAAGCTGGGCTTACCTTATATACCCCTACATACAGTATTATACAGTGTTCCTTTATGACAGTGAAATTTATTTTTCTAAAGGGACTGATCACTGATTTGAGTGCAACACATGCAGAAAATATTTAACCACTAAGGCAAAATACAAATACAAATTAAGAAACACCTATAGCACTGGTCACATTTCCCAACTGTATTCCCCTACCAATGGCCAGCTGTCAGGCAGGACCATCAGGGCATAGTTTTAGGCAAAAGGGGGCAGGTGCACTGTAACAGGAGAAAATGGACATCTGAATCTTCTACTTAATATATTTTTAAATAATGTCTTTTTCCTTGCCATTTTTTATTATTTCCATGTATCTAAATATTAGTTTTTCTGTAATTCATAATATCTTTAACTTTTCCAGAACCACTCTGAACCTCTTTTTGCCTCTCCCTAGCATCTCCATTATGATTATAGTTTACAAATACACATTGTGGAAATACACATTTATTAACTGACACAGGAGTTTTCAGGTTGACTATATGGCAACATCATCTGTATATTGTATTGTATTAACCACCCACAGTCAAGTCCCCATCCATCACCATTTATCCCCCTTTTTTTAGCCTCTTCTACTTCCCCTAGCCCCCATTCCCTCTGGTAATCACCACACTATTGTCTGTGTCTATGAGGTTTGTTATTTTTCTTAATCCCTTCCCTTTTTCACCCAGCCCCCAACACACTTCCCCTTTGACAGCTGTCCACATGTTTTCTGTATCTATGAGTCTGTTTCTATTTTGTTAGTTTATTTTGTTCATTACATATAAGTGAAATCATACAGTATTTATTTTTTTCTGACTGGCTATTTTATTTAGCATATACTCTCCAGGTCCAGCCATGCTGTCACAAAAGGTAAGATTTCCTTCTTTTTTTATGGCTGAGTAGTATTCCATTGTATAGATATACCACAGCCTTTTAATCCACTCATCTACTGAGAGGACTTGGGCTGCTTCCAACTCTTGGCTGTTGTAAATGCTGCAATGAATACAGGGGTACATATGTTCTTTCAATTTAGTGTTTCAGGTTTCTTATAATTATTTACTCTAGTCTCTGCTAAATAGCACCAAAGAATAAATGGAAGTAGCAGACCAAAGGTGAATATAATATGTACCATAGCAAAACCCAATATCTGAGTATTATAATGTTTTAATAAAATCAGTAAATTATATATAAAGGTACAATTCCTCTTTCTTAGGCAATATTTTACATAACTTACATATGTGTGTGTGTGTGTGTGTGTGTGTGTGTGTGTGTATATATATATATCTTACATATATACACTGAGTGGCCAGATTATTATGACCACCTGACGTTTGTAGGCAAATTAGCTATAATTTCGCGCTGAAGTTGCTAGAGGGCCAGACCATTATAAATAGGGAAGCAGCTTGTTTACCACGACAATAGAAGTGGTTTTTTTCTGAAGATATGGGTAAACAACGTGATTTAACAGCCTTTGAATGTGGGATATATTTGAACATGAGTGGCCAGATTATTATGACCACCTGACGTTTGTAGGCAAATTAGCCGTACACTGCATTGTATGGGATATGGAAGCCGAAGACCTGTTTGAATACCTTTGCTCTCTGCAGTTACCAAGGTAAAACTTCTCCAATTCACACAGGAATACAAGGATTGTACAGTCGAGCATTGGAAAAAAGTCATGTGGTCCGATGAATCACGTTTCCAGTTGCATCATGCAGATGGCAGAGTGAGAATTTGGCAGAAACAGCATGAAAGCATGCACCCCACATGCATGAGTACAACCCTTCACGCTGGTGGGGGCAGTGTTATGGTTTGGGGCATGTTTTCCTGGCATGATTTGGGCTCTTTAATTCATGTGGAACAATGTTTGAATAGCACAACATACCTAAGTATCATTGCTGATCAGGTTCATCCTATCATGTTGATGGCATATCCCAATGGAGATGGCTTCTTCCAACAAGACAATGCGCCATGCCATGGTGCTCGTATTGTGTAGGAGTGGTTTCAAGAACATGAGGGAGACTACCTTGCTTAGGTGGCCCCACAATCACCAGATCTCAATCGAATTGAGCATTTGTGGGATGAAGTTAAAAGAGCTATCAGGCAGCTGGTTCCACAACCATCAAATCTCACAGAACTGGACAGTGCTATTCATCAGGCATGGTGTCAGATTCCTCGCATCACCTTTCAACATCTCGTGGAGTCAATGCCAAGAAGAATCGTCGCAGTATTGAAGGCAAAAGGTGGCCCAACGAAGCACTGATGGGGTGGTCATAATAATCTGGCCACTCATAATATATATCCCATGTTCAAAGGCTGTTAAATTGTGTTGTTTACCCATATCTTCAGAAAAAAATCACTTCTACTGTCGTGGTAAACAAGCTGCTTCCCTACTTATAATGGTCTGGCCCTCTAGCAACTTCAGCGCGAAATTATAGTTAATTTGCCTACAAACGTCAGGTGGTCAGAATAATCTGGCCACTCAGTGTATGAAAAGTCACCAAGTGCTAAATAGAAATAACATGTTGTATATCATTTAAATTTTCACATTACTCCAGTCAGGAATAATCAGTAAATCTATCCCCTTCAAATGCTATAGAGAAAAAGAGAAAATCTGACCATCTATCAGTAGCAGAAAATATCCCTCAGGCTGAGAATTTCCTCTGCAGGAATGAGACCCTTCAGAAGTGTCTAATTTGGGTTGTATTGTCAAAATGGGGATGAAAGATTTAAAAAAAAAAAACAGAGCCACTCATCAAGTTCAAGTTCCTTCTGCTTGAAACATGTTCTCTCCCCTTTAACCTCAAAGAAGTGAAAGCTGTTACAACTTTTATGATAGAAGCACATCTTGCCAAGCTCAGCTTTTATAATGTACTGAAAACTCCTTTCATGACCCAAGCTGGTTTTTGTCAATGGACAGATGTTATTTTTAACCAGAAGCTTTTTTCTTTATTAACAAATTCAAGTAAACATCACATTTGTGTGGCTGGAAGGGCACAGCTCACGTTGACAGCTTGGGGGGAAAGATTAATTTATGTTACTGAGTTATTTTGATTCACTCATAACGAGAAATAAGTCATAGTTCGCATTTTTAACTGTGCCTCGTCATCTCTGGATCTTCACGAGGCACTTCTACTCCTGTGAGCGTTTTCCTATAACTCATTGTGCCTGGGGAGGAGGATGCCTGTAGCATTTTCCACAACAAAAACAAGTGCCAGATGATCTGTGTCCGGAACCAATGGACTACACTCACATTCACAAAATAATTATAGCCAGAAACAGAGCATAATATCAGAAAAAGAGCCAGCCTTCCTAAACCACTCAATCTTTTTAAAAAGGATGTGCACCCCCTCCTTCCTGATATATCAGAGCTATTTCTAGAATAAACTCAGCTTTTACCAATCCTTTACTCCCTTCTCTCAAAACAACAGTGAACCAAATAACCCATTATTCATATGTAGCAGCTTTGGAAAATGTGGCTGCACTGTAGCTTCCACAATAGACTCATGAGGACCACAAACTAACCTCACCAACCACATGACTCATGTAAACAGCAGTAGCAATTGGGTTGTTGGACTAGACAGAATTGAACTAGTGGGACCTCCATCCCAAGACCTCTAATAGGATATTTTATGGTTTTTAACAATTAAGTATAAACTACTTTTTTTAGGTGATTAATAATTTATAACATAAAATATATATTGACTTACAGTGAAACTAAAGAGGTAAACATTCTAGGGGGTACAACTCACTGAATTTGCCTTAGATATGAAAATCAAGGTCAGAAAAGGACAAACTGCTGAAGGGCTTTTATTATTCTTCAGGGGAACACCCTAAAGTATTTTATTTCAGTCCATTCTAGATATCTCCTTAGATTCTCCCTAAAACCCTAGCCTTAGAGTCAGAAATCTGCAGCCCAATTTCTAGCATTGACAGTGGATCTTCCTTTTGCCTCTGTCTTTCAACTATAAAATGGGAATAATAATAGTTATCCCCCACAGAGCCCATGAATGTGAGTGAGGAGCAGCCTCTATGAATAAAGATGACAGCGAGCAAAGTGTGTGCAATATGCTAGCAAAATCGTAAACGTATACAACCAAGTGACCAAAACTAAAAAAAAAGTTTGTTTGCTTTTACATGGATGGCAAGAAGGGCCCCTAAGTAGATCACATCACTCAGCTGGTAGTAGTCCAGCTACAACCAGAAAGCTAAAATAGATCAACCAAATAACTGGTGAACTCCACACAAGGAAACTCTTAGAGTTACACTTCCTAAAAGGTGCACAGTAATAAAAATAATAAGCATAAGAGCATAAATTTTCTTCAAATGGGAAAATGATCATTACAAGATGTGCCCCACACCAGACTTTCTGGGTCTCCCTGCAGTACAACAGGGTGGCGTGCGTGTGAGAGCACGTGGCTGGTGCAGAGGCGGTCCCACACATGACTGCCACATTCCTCGTGGGATTACCTTGATTGGGTTTCACAGGATGCAGCCTTTGTCAGTGGCCCCACATTACTCATACACACCAAAAGCTAATGAGACTCCCTATTCTGTGACTCTAGCTTGCACTGGTTCAGGGGATAGCAAATGAATAAATCTATTTCCTGGAAAAATGTTAACATGCTAGGACTGTTCAGATTATTGCCCTGAAATAGTTTGATGCCATTATTGAATTACATTCCCTTGAATTGCTGGGCTCCTTTTGTTCATTCAAATGATGCTGTATTTCACCTCTAGACTCCTGCCACGCTCCACTACAGAGAAAAAGAACGAGACAGGCAGGAGCAGATGATAAGAAGAACACAAAAATGGTCACAATTTGCTGCTCCATAAACTCATACTACTGTTAAATAAAAAGCCTTTGGAAATATTTTTTATTTGTAGCTTTTAAAGAAAAATAACAGAAATGAAAAAGCAAGAGCAACTTAACACTTCTTGGCTTTTTTTTTCTTTTGAGCTCCAGTAAAGTTTGTCCAAAAATACATAAATAAAACCATAGGGACACGCGAGCTGGCCTTCGGCCATAGTCTGAGTCAGCCAGCTTTTGCCAGGTGATTGCTCTGATAGAACTTTAAGGCTCTGCTGGTGTGTTTTCAAGCCAAAAGCTAAGTTACAGAAAGCACAAATCATGATAATCCCATTAATTGAATAAGCAATGGTCATCTCCTTTCCTCAGCTATTTGTCCAATGATTGCCTACTAATTTCAGGTATTATTCCCATTTGAAGCGTCTAAGAAATATAAAAATGAGAAAAAAAATATCTGTATGATGAGAAAGAATGTCCTGTGATTTATGCATTGGGAGGCTGTAAAAGGAATGTTCTCCTAATTTTCCTGTCAACTTGGTTCAAAACCAACCTTGAGCCCCTAGTCATTGTCCGTGGATCATGCTCAGACCATCTGAGATCACTGAGGAGGATCCATAGCCCTTCCTGCTCACCTGGGAAACCTAAAGAAGAGACATGTCACCTGTCCTTGCGCTGGGGCCCAGGAAAAGCACACACGCAAACACACACACACACACACACACACACACACACACACTGAAAAGTTGCTATTCATGTGATAATTTTCAGACATCAATTTGAAGATTACAAGCTTCTCTTCAAACTCTTATCAGCACAAGTTTAAGAGAAGCATTAATTCCTATTCACCTATTGCATTCCTTAAGTCAAGCTTCCTAACTCTATTAGAACAGTTGCAGAGGGAAATAAACAGGATGAGTTTGAAGATACCGTGCAGTATATTAAATACATGATTATAATAACAATAATATGCATCTTTTTAAAATAAAAATTTATGCAACATAATTCATAACAGTAAAGTGTGCAAATTTAAGGGTACAGCTTTATAATTTTTACATGTCTGTGTATATGTATATACACACATATACACACACACTATTAATTTTCTGATAAAAAATAGAACAAATGAAAACAACTCTGACCTCTGAACCAATTATCATCTGTATGAGTTTGGACAAGTTACTTAAATTTTCAGACTCAGTTTTAAATCCGTACACCTACAGTTTATACTTAAAAAATATTATTGTGAGGATTAAGTAGACTAATCCACAAGAAGAAAACCAGTACATGGTCCAAGAAATTGTTTTGCTATTATGATTAGTACTATATAAGTGCCTAGTCATATGACGGTATGAAAGTCAGATTAAACCATTATTTCATATTAAATCTTTCCAATATGCTCTCTCTGGATGTATCCTCCGTCTATTGATTCTCTAGCCTGAAAGGGGAGGTTTTCCTATAACCACACTGTAGGCCCCAGCAGGTCAGGGATCAGCTCACCTGGTGGGCACAGGGACCTCAGTCAGGGCACCCAGCATGACTGCCTGCTGCAGCCGAACAAAGGCAACGAAAGGCGAATCCAAGAAGTCGACCTCCCCGACAAGCACGTTGGAGGCTTCTGCATCACGGGGCAGTTTTTTCATGAACTTGTTCTTCAGCTGCATGGGAAGAGTCAAGAAAACACAGCTTATTTCCAGAAGAGGGGACAAGAAGAAACAGTTCACAGATCACTCGAGGGAATTCCTTTATATGCAAGAGGACCTAGCTACAGCCATTTTCCTATCATGTTTAACCATTCTATTAAACATTTCTCTGTACATTGGATTAAAAAATATTGAAGGTATAATCACATGACTTACATATAACACAATTCCTTTATTGATTCACTCACTCAATAACCATGTGTCGAGAGTCTAGAAGGGGCCAGGCACTGATCTAAGCCCTAGGAATACAGTTTTAAGGATCAACTAATCACATGTCCTGCTTGGATTCATATTCCAGCAGGGGAGAAATAAAATATGATTTGAAGTTGTGATAAATGCTAAGAAAAAAAAGACATAAAACCAGTAAAAGGGTACTTTAGGTAGGGTGGTCAGGAAAGGGTGCTGAAGAAATACATTTGATGCTGGAGTCAGGGGACAAGCCATGCAAAGATCTAGGCCAGTGATGGCGAACCTATGACACGCGTGTCAGAGGTGACACGCGAACTCATTTTTTTGGTTGATTTTTCTTTGTTAAATGGCATTTCAATATATAAAATAAATATCAAAAATATAAATCTTTGTTTTACTATGATTGCAAATATCAAAAAATTTCTATATGTGACATGGCACCAGAGTTAAGTTAGGGTTTTTCAAAATGCTGACACTGATCTAGGCAAAGAACATTCCAGGCAAGAGAACAGCAAGTGCAAAGCCTCTGAGATGGGAAAGAGAAAATAATAAGGCAAGTGTGATGGCAGCTGAAGGAATGGGGGTAAAATAGCAACAAAAGGAGTTGCATAGGTAAGGGGGTGGGGGAGGGACCAGATGGTAAGGACCTTGAAGGCCACAGTCAGGAGTTCTGGGTGTTTTAAGTGGGACTTGCCTAATAAAAGCCCAAGTGAAAAGGTAGAGTAGAAAGACTACATTTCAGAGATATCACCATATAAACAATGCTTACAACATACCACAGGATCACACAAGTTTGGGTGTGAGTGTAGATAGAGAAGAAGGAAAAGATCTAAATCCTGGGCCACCCTACCTTTTATAGGAATGGGAGGAGTTATTGGCAGAGGACACTGGAGAAGAGCAGCCAGTGAGGTAGGAGGAAAGCCGGGCTTAACAGTCAGGTGAAGGAAGGGCTCAATAAGGAAAGCATATCAAGCTGAGTCAAAGGCTGCTGAAAGCTCAAATACGATCAGAACTAAGAATGGACCCGATGAATTTGGCAAGATGGAGGTGCTGGGTGATCTTGACAAGAGTATTACAGTGGACATCAGGGAGCCCAGTAAAGAATGAGAGGTGAAGAAATGGAGACCTGGAGTAGACATTAATTATTTTGAGAAATGTTGCTACCAAGGAAAGCCAAATAATAGGCAGACAGGTGAAAGAAGGCATAAAATAGGGGGATTTTTTAAGTGGGAAATATGATAACACTTGTAAATGTTAATGAGAATGATGCAGTAGAGACAGATTATTGCTGTGGAGATAGGGGATAACTTCAAAAGCTACTCAAGCAACTCCGAACTCTTGAGAAGAAACTATCCACATCACAAGTAGAGGGATTATTTCAGATAGGAACACGGAGAGTTTATCAATCCTCATTAGGGAAAGCAGGCTAGTATATGGGTACAGAGGGGGGTATTAGGGAGATCTGGTGGGTGAAGATGAGGGCTTCTGAAGACTCACATTTTTGCAGTGAAGGACAAGTGAGCTGATGGTGAGAAAGAGGGGGAGGTATGTGGGAGTTTGAGTACAGTGGTAAAGATGTGGTTTTCTTGGAGAGTGGAAGTTGCTTAACAGTCACTTTGAAAGCTTATCTTTTTTTAATTTATCTGTATTGTTGAAAGTATTACAAATGCCCCTTTTTTACCGCTTCCATTCCACTCCCAACCCTTCCCCAGGCCTTCAGTGCACTATTGTCTGTGTCCATGGGTTATGCATACATGCATATAAGTTCTTTCATTAATCTCTTCCTGCCTTCCTGCCTTCCTCTGAAATGTCAGTCTGCTGCATACTTTAATGTCTCTGGATCTATTTTGTTCATTGAATTCTACATATAAGTGAGATCATGTGATACTTGTCTTTCTCTGACTGGTTTATATTGCTTGGCATAATACTCTCCAGGGCCCTCCATGCTGTCTCAAAGACTAAGAGATTCTTCATTTTTACAGCTGCATAGTATTCCACTGTGTAAATGTACCACAGCTTTGTTACCCACTCATCTACTGATGGGCATTTGGACTGTTTACAGATCTTAGCTATTGCAAATAGCACTGTTATGAACATAGGAGTACATAAATTCTTTCTGATTGGTGTTCTGGGATCCTTAGGATATATTCCTAGAAATGGGATCACTGGGTCAAATGGCAGTGCCATTTTTAATTTTTTGAGGAAATTACATCTTGTAGGTGTTATTCCTTACTTCCCTTCCCTTCCCAACACCCACTTAGAAAAGGGTTGTTTAAGCATCCTTCAGTGAGTGGGAAACGCCTCCCAGAGCTCAAGGAAAACATTTCAACAATCACAGAAGGATAGAGATAAGAATTTTGCAGGACCATATGAAAGGAAGACTTGTGATATATTACCAATATAAATGTCTCTCCTCTCAAGTCTAAAGTTACCAGTGCACTTAGTATTTTGTGCCCTGGATTATTGCTGAGATAGGAAGTGGCAGACATGGCCCAATTTTCCTCATTAATAAAAAGGTTGCAGTAAGACTTTACTTTCTATTTCCGTTTAAATAGTTCTTAATTAGGGAAAATAAATGTAATGAAAACTGATCCCTAAAACTCCATTACCCTCAGTAGTATTTTATGGGATTTTTTTCTTAAATTTGGTACTTTATATAAGAAGAAAGCTATGAGGCAAAAAAAAAAAAAAAAAAAAACAAACAAAACAAACAAACAAACAAAAACAAGAAAGTTAAGGCTAATACTTTAGTGGAAACCAAAATTAAAAAATCAAAAGCAAAATATATTTTTTAGATGTTAGAAACATGATTACTTCTAAGCGGTAAGGGATATTTTCAAAGCTTATACCATTAATCCTCCAAGAAATAATAAATTATGTTTACATTGTACAGATATGAAAAGAGAAGGCATGGGAAGAGTCTTTATAAACATCAAATTGTTATTAAAAAACAAACACATTATTATGGCCTAAAGAAGTTCCAGTAATGAACTGTTCTCTATAACACAGAGTAGAGTGTGGGATATGGACAAGTGGCCCACGCACAGAACACAGTATCATTGCTAGAGTAACCTTCCTCACACTCTTTCCAGAGTTCCCATCACCAACACTGGGCACGAAGTTCTGTGATAATCAGATTTTATTCCCCCTTCTCTCCAGCATTCTCTCTTTGCTCTAGTTAGGCAGGTAGTCTAATCATTTCCACTTCTATTTTATGTACTTATCCCACAATCATGACCAAACACTCTTTCATTTCTACCTTTTCTAAACATCCTTCAATGCTCAGCCCAAGTCTTGCTACCATCTCTACCCACTTTCTTGGGAACTCCGGAGTGCTCATTTCTGAATCATACTTCAAGTCTCTTGAGGGTTAGAACAGTTTATCCCTCCTTGTACTGAACACCTACCTGCTTTTCACATAATTCAGCTGTACTAAATATTCTGAATGAAAGAAATGAGCTCTATAGCACTAAAAATCAGACCAAAAGGACTTCAAATGCCCAGGAACATTAGAAAGGATGTGTTTGTTTGTTTTGTTAATCCTCATCCAAGATTATTTTTTCCACTGATTTTTAGAGAGAGTGAAAAGGAGGGAGGTGGAGGGGACAAAGAGAAAGAGAGGAACACCAATGTGAGAGAGACACATTGATTGGTTGTCTCCTGCATGCACCAAACCAGGCTGGGATCGAACCTACAACTCAGGTACGTGTCCTTGACCAGGAATTGAACCCACAATCCTTCAGCACGCAGGCCAACACTAACCACTGAACCACACAAGCCAGGGCTAGAGAGGTTTTAAAGGCTTATTCTAGAACCTACTATGTCTGGCTCTGTCACTAAGCAACTGAAAATTGTCAAGATACGTTCTTTTATATCAGTGTATTTCAAACTGTGTTAGCGGAACACATGTGTTCTCAGAAAAACTAGTAGCTGTTCTAAAATAACAATGTGTGGTACCTGAGGTGCCCCAGAAGTCAGTCCTCAGATGGCTCTTTTCTTTCTACACACACTCTGGGTGATCACCAAGGTCTCATGTCTTTAAGTCCCATCTATATGATAATGTCTCATAAATTTATACCTTTAGCCAGGACATCTTCCCTGAACCCTAGACCTAAAAACATCTCTACTTGGATGTCTAATAGGCATTTTAAGTAAAACTGAGTCCTCCTGATAGTCCCTTCAAACTAGCTCTTCCTCCAAGGCCCCTCATCTGGTTAATGGCAACTCTATTCTCCCATCACTCAGGCCAAAACCTTGATGTCATCTTCAACATTTTTCTTCCTCTCACACCCTCTGTCCATTCTATCAGCAAATCTTGTTGGGTCTATGTTGAAAGTATATCCAGAACCTGACCATTTCTCACCAACCTCACTGCCACCACCCTCGGCGACATTACAACCATTCATTCTTCTCCTGGATTATGGCAGTGGCCTTCTGGCTGGATTATCTGCTTCTGCCCTTACACCCAGTCTATTCACCAAAGTAGCCTGAGGTCAAATCAGGAATCAGATCATGTCTCTCTTCTGCTCAAAATTCTCTCTATTGGTCCCCATTTCACTAAGAGAGAAGGCAATGTCACCATCAGCTCCTTGACCTTATTTCCTACCACTCACTCCGTCTTCCCTACGCCTGCTACTCTAGCCTCCATGTCCTCCCTCAAACACACCAGGTATACTCTTACCTCAGGACCTTTACACTTGCTGCACAGCTCCCTCCCTCACTTCCTTTTCCTTCAGATCTTTATTTACAAGTCATATCAGTGAGTC